GAAATTCAATGATTCTAGTTTTTAGCGAATATTTCAAAAACAACCACTGATATTCACGAATTCAAATGAGATTATTCTAGTTACCTAAGATAGAAGACTTTTGTTCAATTTGACAGATAGCAATAGTGGGATAAGCCTAAATAAATTGCCTGTATATAAATTCAAGAATTAGAGAAAAAATGAAGCTATGAAATAACAAAACCATCTTGAGGAAGAAAAACTGTGACTGTTGATGAAAACTGCAGAATTGCAATGAAAAGAACAGTACAGTCATTTTATTTCAAGAAAGAATTACCGACCCTCGAAAAAATAATGGGAACCTTGAAAGAAGAGCAAATTATGTTTCCATTGGTGGAGAGAAAGAAATTGTGGAAAACTTAAATTTCAATTGGGAAAAACAAAACAGAAAATCGCTCTCGATTGAAAATGATGGAATTAATTGCTGGAGGATACATAAAGTGAGGCAGATGAGAGATTTTCCAAGTAAGAGTGGAAAGATTTTTCATCTGGACGAAACTTGGTTTCCTTGGAAAAGTGTGACAAAATAAAAATATTACAAGTTCACGTCAAACATTTTTAGGAGACTGTTCTATCGGATTGAAGTCGCCTTCTGGAAAATAAAAGCGACTGATTATAACCTACATTGAAAGTGTTGATGGTTTTGCTGAGGACGGTTTATTGATGTTGGGGTCAAAACATTTTTGCGGACTTCCAATATGATATAAATTGATTTGAAAAATAACAATTATATTAAGCAAAAAGAAAACTGAAATTACAATGAAATAAAATATAGGCAACAACCAAAAAAAAACAAAAAAAATTAATTATTAATGAGAAAAGAAAATGAAAAAAAGTATTAACAAGAAATAAAAATTAAAAGATTCCAAGCCAAGTTTCTTCACGACGTTACGATTGTTGGTATCCAACAATCGTCTTCGGTTGATAACTGAAACGTCGTGAAATAACTTGGGTTGGAATCTTTTAATTTAAAATTTTCATTTCTTGTTGATATTTTTTTAATTTTAATCTCTCGTTAATAGTTTTTTTTGGTTGTTGGCTATATTTTATTTCATTGTGATTTCAGTTTTTTGCTTAGTATAATTGTTATTTTTCAGCTAATCTTTTTAATTTTTTACAGATTCTTTCAGGGATTTCAAATCAATTTATATCATATTAGACAATGGAAGTCCGAAGTATCTAATGAAATGCACAACGAAACATTTTCAACCACCTTCAAACAAATATTCAAAGAATATTTTGAGCAAATGTTAGACCTCATTTCACCTAACTCTATGTTTATTAAATATTGTAAGTTATCATTCCAGAAAAGTTGAAAGAGTGGCTCCCACAAAAACATACCATTTGATGAAAGTATGGTCAAAGAGAACTACTGTTTTTCGTATAATCCAGCGTTCATATAAAAGTATTTGTTTCGAAAGTATTTTTCATTCATGTAATTCAATGTTTATATGAAAATAGCTGTATCTAGATGGTTTTTTCTTCCAGTTTGTGCCTGAAAATTACTTCTTTACACGATCTACACATCTTTATATAAAACTAATTTTTGAGATTTCTTCCTTCTTTTCTTTGGGAGATTCCTACATTTTTTGTATCAAGATGGAGAAGTAGAAAGCCAAAACCTTTCTTTCCCAACTACTATCCATAGTATGTTTGAATAGATCTCGTTTCACGAAATATGTAGTCAACTAGATGGCACAAAAACTAAATATTGTTATTATTATGCATGTGCCACCTAATCCTAATCCTATTGAATTCATGTGGGCTCAATTGAAGAGTTTCGTTGCAAGAAGAGACACGAAAATTGGAACAAAATATGTCAAAATATACTTTAGGGAGTCCTTAAAAAATATCGATTCAGAAAAATGGCGAAAATATATTGAAGATGTTATGAAAGAAGAGAACACTTAGTTGAAAAAATTGCAAAATTTTTATTCATACCATTCTATGAAGATTAATCGAATTTATATGATATTAACACACCATGATTTTTTATTACACCTAATATCTTCTTCAATAAGTACATAATGTAAATATTTCAAATTGAACAGATTATAACAGTATTAGTTGTATATTCGTACATGAATAAACATGGTTATTTTAATCAGATACCTAAACGCACGCCACTGCAGGTAGAAAACGACAAAAACGCCGCGACCCGTTTACGATACAAAAATAGAATGGACCCGGTAAAGTATCATTAACCCGCCTATACCTGCTGTGGCATATTACAACGAAATCACAAAATTTCAATTGAACATTCTCTCAGCATTTTGTATTCATAATAAGCATTTTTTTTAATATTAGAAAAAAGAATATACTGACGTAACCCTTGAGGGAACCTTTCCTCACTTGTATGAATAAACGAAACTTTCAAATAATATCCGAAATGAGATTCCATCAAAGCTAACCATGTTCCTAACTCGAACTATTTCGGAGACGAACTCTCCGAGAACTTCTTGTATCACACTATTCTCCATCATCATTCAAGATGTATCTTAAATTTTAACATCGCACCACCAATTCTATTCACAAGAAGGGTATTTAGAGAGATGAGTTGGGAGAGTTCCAACTTTAAGGATACATTTATCACGAACGCTATATATTTAGTAAATCCTCTGGTAACATTTGTATTAATCACTTCAAAGATTGAACGCAACTTGAACCTCACAGATAAGTTTTAAAGTTCCAGAAAGATGAAACTGGGGTCACTGATAAGAGGAAAAGTAGTTGAACACATACGGGCTACCTCACCAAACTTGAACCTAGGGGCGTGCTTGAACGGAAAAATGCTTGGAGAGAGAAAAGCATTCAGATTTTATGAATTCCAAATAATTTCATAGAAAAATTAAACTATTTAGTAGAATTTTGAAAGCAAGTGTTTTCAAATCGAAACTTCTAGGAACAAAACGGATTTTTGCAGCAGTAACTTCAATTTTCAATTCATTTCTAATTAGTACCTGTATAAGATAAGGTCGAGTCGAACGAGTATGAAACTTTCTTGACAAAATCTGTTTTTTCTTCAACTAGTTGTCATCCCGTTAAAAACGACAATTCTCAGAAGTCGAAACTTGAGCGAGTTGCGGATTAGTGAGATCTTATCTTTCAACATACGAATACATAATTTAACATTGATTGTTCACGATGACAGTACCTATATAGTCCAGATAAAGATAACTTCCTGAGCAAAATCCGTAACGTACTTATTCAATTCGATAGTTAGTGAGGAAAAACCTATTGATAATAAATTACTCTGAAAGTAAAGATATAAAAACCTACTGGTAGAATATTTACTGAGACCTGAACATCGATATCAGTGAGTGGTGACAGTGAGTAGCTCCTAGAAAATGTCCTATAAGTGCTGTAAATCGAAACATTCCATTCATTATGTGTGTGAGAAACGTGTGTCCGTCCATCGTCGCAGCTATCTCCAAAAGGGGAACAAAAACAAGATAAAATTCTTGTATGTATATATATATAACGTTATATAGTGTTTCCAATACCAATTGGAACAACACAGAGAAGGAATTCCCGCCTCGACATCGTCGAGGCATATTATTTTTCAGTGGTAGTTTTTCAGTTACTTGATTTCGAATGAAATCAATAATATCTGCTTTTTTTGTGTTATTGTTTGGTATTGTAGTCAATAACCGAGAATGATACGAAGCGTTATCCATAACAATAACCGGGAGAAGCTGCTCACTGAACTAGGTTTCAAATAAAGCCGCAGTCACATCTTCGTGGTAATCAGCAGACGAATCTTTTATATTTTTGGCCGTCAGAAGCAAAGCGTTAGGTACGAAACCACTTTCATTTGCGCAAAATGCAAAATTATAACACGTTTTCCTGTTGAAGAAGGTGTGTTCAAAGCACAATACTTGGTTTCGTCTACCCAGCCATATTTGACAACATCATGGGTGTCAAACCAAGTTTTGTCTTGACACAGATTCCTCACACGTAATGTTATCATTTGTTTCAAAAGGTCTCCAGAAAGCCATATTTATGAAAGTAACCAAAAACACTAAGATTTTCACAAAAATCGGTTTAAACGATGAGATTGGAACCTTTGGTGTAAAAGTTGAAAACTTTCTCTAGAGATCAATTACCCTAACACAAAACTGATATTTTTGCACTCAAGGCGCGTTTCGCTTACAAGGTTAGCATCTTCAGGAGAAGCAAATTGATACTGAATCTAAAGACAAGGGTTAGCTGTTTATATACCTAAAGTTTTTTGGTACGATGTGGACTTTGTTTGTTAAATGATGATTATCCTAATAAATTTTTGGTAATTAACTAGTGGAACCACTACCTGCAAATTAATTTGTCGGCTTTTTAATCTATTGTTGTTTAATCTAAGTAGTTCTTCTCCAGGAACCTGTTCCAGGACGTAAGTTTCTGTCTTTGCTTTCTGAGTGAGAGCAACAGTAGATGAAACAATTTCTGCGCTCAGACAAAAGCAACATAATAATAAACAGTTTTGGGTCGAGGGTTTGATCCCCACCTCAACCAGATATTTTTCTCAAGAAAATATCTAGTATCATAGACATGATACTACCTAGGTGGCTCGAGGAGTTAGTAGCATTACCTACCTATAACACGAGGCTAATGACCAGTGTACTATATGCCGTTAACTCCAAAAAATGAAAATAACAAAAACGGCAATGTCATAGTTGAGATTTTCTAACAATATTTGGAATATTTAGATTTGAAAGTTCCAAATTTATACATTGAACGAAAATCAAATCAAAAAAGCAGAGTTTTTTATCATAAATTATAAGGCTGCCCATTTCTCGTGAAAGCGACTGTAGTTTTAATTTTGATCGCAATCCTACGAGATCTGGAGAAATAGCTTGGAAAAGGAAGTTCGATCATTCGCGTTTTATCTCTACTTATCTGAAAGAAATCGATTATGCGTGTCAAAAATCTGTAAACTAAGGAACCTCCAGTCATCTTTGAAAATAACTGGATAACTTTGTTTTCAGAACTTTGTGACGCTGCCACAAAAATTCAGGCTTCCTTCAGAGGGCACATGACGCGAAAGCATGAAGCTGATAAGAAAACGGATTCTGCTGTATTTCAAGAAGATGGGCCAATGGTTATGAACGAAAAAGTGAGTTTTTATTTTTGTTGTTTAATTTTCTTAATAGTTATACTATAACTTTATGTCTTGGAATAAATTTGAAAAAGTCGGTTGAATACAAAGCAGCATAGCGGAGGTTCTCCGACCTACTGAACTATATCAGCCAGTTATTCAGTTATCCTAGGTATCGTGCAAAAGATTTAAATACCTTTCACCATTCAGATTTCCGTCAATGAAAAAAATCCATTGATGTAATTTCTCCATTTCAATGTGTTTCTCAAAATATATGAAAACTAGAGTCGCTTGTTTCAATAGTTGCGTCCCAGCCCACTTCAGTAATTAGCCATGATGGGAGAGCAACGTCAACTCTGTCATTGATCCTCTTTTTAAAGTCAGGGTAATATCAATGATACATTGAATAGTTTTTTTTGTAGTTTAACACCATTGTTAGTTGTAATATACAAGTTTGAAAGTTATTCAAAAGTATTGTTTCACAAAATGTTTGAGTTTTGAGTGAAAGTGTTGGTGGAGTCCTTCAAAAACGGCAATAATTTGAAGTGTAAGGTGCTATAATAATAATTTGGAGTCCTTGGTGAAAT